TGGAAAAGTGGGCACTTACAAAAATGTAGAACCCAAAATAATGAAACATTAATATAATTTTAATATTCCTGCAGCATAACATGTTCTTGAGATATGCGCCTTTAAAGTTGTCTCGCCTCTCTTCTGCCTGGGAAGTCAAGAGGGTGCGCCAACTTTAAAGGCGCATATCTCAAAAACTAGAGTACCTACAAAAAAGTGGTTAATTACAAAAACAAAGCTTAAGCTTCTATAATTATATACTGAAAGTTTGAAAAATCGAAATAGGTTTAATTGCTTTTGTAGAACCATACAGTTTACCAAAACTGTCAACGTTGAATCAATTTATCTCGTTTCCTTTGAAAGATATCAAAAACTTGTCAATTGATGAATTATTTATCATAATATTACCAATATTTTATCAATTAACACATTTTCAATATCTTTCTTAGGAACCGAGATAATTGAGCTTAAAAAAACGCACATCAAAAACAAATCGATTCGCGGAGACTTCCATTTGAAAAGTGGCTCCACACAGATATTTCCATGCGCGGCCTCGTAGACTTGGCGGTATTCCTTTTCGACATCTGGCCTTGACTAGCTCGAATTTTTCATCCATAAAATATCTCCAATTATCCAACATTTGAATCCATTTCTTCTCACGACGACGCAACACTTTTGGGTCCAATTGGGGAGATGAGCTGAAATTTGAAATGTTTTTTTTCAGAATTTTTAAACTTTGAGCCCATATATTTCGTTTTCTGTGAACGATATCAAAAAGTTGTCAACTGATAAAACATTCATCATAATACCAGTAACATTTTATTAGTTGACAAAATTTTCATATCTTTCCTAGGAAGCGAGATAAATTGGCTCAAATTTAACAACGCGGCGCATGCCAGCTTGGGTACACTGTTGGCTACCGACCTTCACCTTTGCGGCCATATGTCTTGGTTCCCATGAAAGAAATCAGAAAGCTGTCAACTGATAAAAATATCATTTTGTAGCCTGTCTTAACACCTCTATTTTCCAACTTGAAATGTTGAAAAATATCGAATTTGAAAAAAGTTATAAAGGGAAATAGCAACTACACTCTAGTCGGCCAAAATTGAGACCAAGTTAACGTTCACTTTGAGCTGAAATCTCGCATTTTCTGTTAAAGATAACAAAAAGTTGTCAACTAGCAAAATGTTCATCATAATATCAGCAATATTTAATCAGTTGACAAATGTTCGATATCTGTTACAGTAACCTAGATCAAATCACCTCAATCCATCCATCACAAAAAAGCCGAATCGATCAGTTTCGGGATGATTGCTCTCCACTGGAACTTGCTCCTTTTTCCTTTTATTTTCCAAATTATCCAATTGAAATTGCACACGAGAAGTCGCTTGTTGTTGTTGTTTCAATTGTTGAATTGCAAATGGATTATTCACATAATCATTCGTATCACAAATCTCATGATTCTGATAATGTGCATTTGGATCATAACCGAGGAGGACATTCTCATTCGAGTCTCCTCTTCCGGAAAGTCATCGTACTCTTCTGAATCCGATACGGAGCTTCGTTTCGAGCCGTGATGAGAATGTGTCTGGAATTTTGGATTTTTTCATTAAAAAATATGTTTTCCAAATTTTCGAAAATCTCAATTTCCCATCTTTTTAAGATTTCTAGATGATTGAAAATGCTCTAAAACAAAAGCAAAAAAGTTTTGACACCGGAAAGATTCGAACCCAGGTGTTGAGATTGGTAGATTTTTGATGTTAAATCCCACTGCGCCATTTGGACAATTTTTGGAAAAATGCTCGGGAAATTAGTTTTAACTGGTTTTTTTTGTGTTTTTAGGCATTTTTTGATTATTTACATTGGTTTTAAACAACTATTTTTCACGGCCATGTGACTTTGAATTTGAAAATTGACACCTTAAAAGCGCATAGGGGGTCCAAAAATGTTCAATAATCGATTTTAAGGAAAGTGGGTCATGAGTATACTCATTTGGAAGCTCTCCAAAAGTTCAATTCAGATATAGAAGCATAAATTCAAAATCTCGAAAACCGACAAAGTTATAAACATAACAAAAAATAGGTGGGTATGAAAAAGTTAGTTTTCCTCCTAAACTTTCTTATTCTTCAAGATTTTTCGATGAAACTTGAAATTTTGAGTTCAGCGCGTTGGAAGCTTTGAAATGAGTATAAACACGACTATTTTCCTTTGAATTCGAAAGTTGACAACTTTAAAGGCGCATAGGGGGTCCAAAAATGTCCAAAAATCGAATTTGAGGGAAGTGGGACATGATTATACTCATTTTGAAGCTTTCTACACGACAATTTCAAAAATATTGTTCTCATAAATTTTGAACCGAATTTGTCTGAGTTAAGGTTGATTTTAGGCTGTTCCGCACCAGGAAAATCTACCGAAACTCGGTCAAATTCAGCCAAAATCAGTTTCTGTCTTCAGATTTGGATTTTGTGTGTCACAGGCTTCAAAATGAGTATAAAGACGACTATGTTCCTTTGAATTCGAAAATTGACAATTTTCAAGGCGCATAGGGGGTCCAAAATGTTCAAAAATCGATTTCAAGGAAAGTATGTCATGATTATACTCATTTTAAAGCTCGAAACTAGACGAATTCCGCTAGCTATGAATTATTCCAGGATTTTCATTTTTAAAGGCGCACAGGGCAAAATACACACCTCCCCAGGCCTCTCGGGCCTCTGAATCACAAACGAGATCTCTTTTTTGACTTGTTTAGATGGTACCGTATCCTCAAACGTTTCCGGCGGACAGGATACGGTCATTCGAATATCCGACATGTTCGCATAGTGACTATTCGATGAGGTTGACGAGATTTGCATGGCTGGAAATCTAAAATTTTCGGGAAAATTTCAAGTTTTAAGAAAAGTTGAGATAATAAAACATTAAAAATTCGGAAATTGAAAAAAAAGAACACAAAAACAGTCTGACCCATCAATGAGTCATAAAGTGAGTAAGGAATTTTTAAAGGAAAATAAGCTCCGCCCCCCCCCCCTTTTTTAACCTAATTACGTCTTAATTACCCCCCTTATTTAGGTCCCAATAAGCCCCAAAAAAATTTTGATAAGACAAAAAAAAAACGACAGGGTGTCTGAAAAACCGAAAATCAATATATGCAACCCCCCAGTGAGGCGAGGAGGCAACGAGAGATAAGAGGAGGCAAGAGAGACGCAGACAAAAAGAGAGAGAGAGAGAGAGAAAGGGATAGGAATTCAATATCTTTTGTTCTGAGATTCACATTTCATATAAATTGCAAAGATATAAATAAATAATATATATAGTATAAGAAGAACAAATGAGATTTGAGTGAATTTGACAAAAATTAAAAATTGAAAAACAAATTATGCAAAAACTGGGGATTTGTAGGGGAAAACAAGCACACAAGATTGATAGGGACCCGAAAAAATGTATGAAAAAATGCAAAATATATAGCATACCAGGTCAGTGAAAAATACAAAAAAAAAACGCATTTTTCAGTGGATTTTTGGCATTTTCAGCCATTTCCACCTCTTTCTCCCCCCACTTTAAATACCTACAGTACCGGTCAATGAGATATACAAAAACGAATTTTTTTTGCTGATTTTTGGTATTTTTAAAGGAGGCGAGACAGCAAAAATTTCGGGGGCAGTTCGGGGGCCGAAATCGCGCCGCGCTTATGTAGACCATCGGTCGTCAGGCGCCTTCGCGCCCCCGTAGTTCAGCCGGTAGCGGCGCTGTACCCCTGAGCTGCCTGTCATGAGTTCAACTCCTCATGGGGGTTCTCTATGCAAAATATCAGGAAAACTTTTTTTTTGGTGTCTGGCCTCCTTTAAGAGTCTAGAACTCGATTTTCGAGTTTCCAATCATTTTGAAAACTTAGGAGGGTGTGAAACAGACCTAAATTGAAAACTTTGAATTTATAGAATTTTTTGAAAATTCCCAGATTTTCAAAAGACCCATTTTACACGAAAAACTGACCAAAAACCTGGAAAATTTGAAAACTTTTAATTTTAAAAAATGCTGTTTTTTTGAGTTTTTAGTGTCAAATTTTCCCGAATTTTTTTTGGCTGAAAAATAACAGAAAACACATGAAAATCGAGATTTTTGACCCTTAAAAAAATCTGAAAATCGCAAAATTTCGGTCTGAAAAACTTGAAATTCTGAAATTTTCGACTTGAAAATTCATAAAATTCATATTTTGAAAGTTTCCCGAATTCCAGATTTTTACCATTTTTAAGGCTAAAAACCCTATTTTTCCATTTCCAGAATAATTTTCAGATTTTTGAGCTTTTTAAGCCAAAGTTTCCAGAATTTCAGAGTTTTCTAGCTTAAAATTTTTAAAATTTTCAGATTTCTCGGGTCATAGATATCCATTTTTATGAATTTTCAAGTCGAAAATTTCAGATTTTTGAGTTTTTCAGACCGTAATTTTGCGATTTTCTGATTTTTTGACGGACAAAAATCTCGATTTTTTAGGTATTTTCAGTCATTTTTCAGCAAAAAAAAGCGAGAATTTCGAAAAACCAGCATTTTTTTCAGAATTAAAAAAAAAGATTTTAAATTTTCAGGGGTTTTGTTTAGTTTTTCGTGAAAAATGGGTCTATTGGAAATCTAGGAATTTTCAAAAAATTCTATAAATGCAAAATTTTCAATTTAGGTCAGTTTTACATCCTTCAAAGTTTTCAAAGTGATTGGAAACTTGAAAATCGAGTTCTAGACTCTTAAAAATACCAAAAATCAGCTAAAAAATTCGTTTTTTCTATATCTCATGGACCGGTACTGTAGGTATTTAAAGTGGGGGGAGATTTGAGTGATTTTGACAATAGAAAATTGAAAAAAATTATGCAAAATTACTGGATTCGTAGGGGGGAAGGGGAAAAAAGCACACAAGATTGATATGTACCCGAAAAATATTTTTTAAAAATGCATTTAAAAATTGTATATAAAGTGGGCGGAGCCTCCTGGATTCTAACGATGCTTCGGCACGACACGTGGATTGTTGATGAGAAAATGGAGCAACTGATGGTTGGGCATCGCCGGAATGCTGCCCGAACAGAATAGTGTCGGCGAGAAGATCGTCGCCAGGTTCTCAACGGTCATTTTGTTTTTGGAACTGTGATCGGCGACCTGGAAATGGGGGAAAACTCGCTTTTTAGGACTGTTTGGGGCTTTTTGGAGCTTTTTAGAGCCTTTTAAGGAGCTGTTTAGCAGCTTTTTAGGACTTTTTAGAGCTTTTTGGGAGCTTTTAGGAGCTGTTTAGGAGCTTTTCAGGACATTTTATGGCTTTTTAGACAATTTTTTGAGCTTCTAAGAAACTTTTTTGGAGCTTTCAAGAGCTTTTTTGGGCCTTTTTAGGACTATTCAGGACTTTTTCGAACATTTAGGAGTTTTTTAGGAGCTCTTCAGTACTTTATAGGGTCTTTTAGGTGTTCTAGGACCTTTTTAAGACTTTTTAGGAGCTTTTCAGGACTTCTTAGAAGTTTTTTAGGATTTTTTAGGACTAAAAATAGCCTTGAATAGTCTGAAATTAGTATAAAATGGCTAAAAATAGACCGAAAATTGGATTTGTAGGCCTATTTCAGGCCTATCTTGCCCCCATTTTACCTTCTTCAAATGCGCCAAAACCGCTCCAAGCGTGATAATATTGGCATCTGACAGCTCCATCATCACCTTCCTCAGCCCTCGTTCTCTCTCGTGTGTCGCCCGTTGATTCGTCTCCTGATAAGCGACTAGAAGCTGTTTATGGACACTGAATGGGATCAGCTGTTGGGGGAGGAGGCGGAAGTAGAGTTTTAGAAGACCACAGACCGTGTGGATGTCGGCAACCTGGAAGTTATGTGGTTTTTGATGAAAAATAGCTTTAAAATTGATCAAAAATCATAACAAATCAGCCGAAATCCATAAAAAATAGCGTCAAAATGAATCCTTGAAAATGGACCCCAAAATCATGAAAAATGGACCAAAATTATGAAAAAAAGACTGAAAATAGCCCAAAGGTCCATTTTTTCCTGCATTTTTGGTCAATTTTAAGCCATTTTTGACTAATTTCGGACTGTTTTAGGCTATTTTTAGTCTATTTTCCATATTTTGGGCTCATTTCTCATGAATTTTGGGTCCATTTTTAGTTATATTTTTAGCGATATTTTTCATTATTTACATCGATAGGAATAACCAATTTTCAGACAATTTTAGGCGCATTTTTCCTGGATTTTTTGGGTCTAGTTTTAGCAATTTTTAGACTAATTTCGGGCTATTCAAGACTACTAGGGTTCATTTTAAACGATTTCAAAGCTGTTTTTCACGAAATCTACTTTCTTACCGCCGCCAAATCCACAAACTGATTAGAGTCGCACTGCTGTTTCAGCTTCTCCATATGATCGTAGCTTCCAGACACCCGATAAATGCCCTCGACATTCAATCCACGTGTCTCCACCTCGTTAATACAAAGCGACACAATTGGTGGGATATCAGTGCCATGAGCCATGCACAAAGTGGTGATATCCACTCCGAACATCCTTTTCACATATTTACAATCGGGCACACAGTCGTGGAGCGTCTTTTCAGAGCACTTTTTGTGAGCGGCGAATCCGCAGTCCTCACAACGCATTCCCTGGAAAAGAATGGACATTTTTAAGCCATGGGGGGCCTGAAAATCGGTCAAAAATCATAATTTCTATGTCAAAAAAGCTTGAATTTAATGATTTTTAACCTAAAATAGGTCAAAAATAATGATTTTTGTGTCACAAAAGCTGTAATTTAATGATTTTTAGCCTGAAAATAGGCCAAAAATCATAATTGTTATGTCGAAAAAGCTTGAATTTGATGATTTTTAGCCTGAATTAGGTCAAAAATTCAATATTTTTATGTAAAAATGCTCGAATGTGATAATTTTTAACCTAAAAATAGGTCAACAGTGGCCGCTTTTTGAGAATTCTTAGCCTAAAAACGCCTAAAGTCTTTCCAATTTTGAAAATACTTGAAAACGCCTATTTTTCAGACAAAAAACTGGCTATAAAACGCTAAAAATGCGGATTTTTAGCTTAAAATTCCAGATTTTCAGCCAAAAAACCTTTGAAATTTCAATTTTTGGGTCGAAATTCGCTGTTTTTATGAGGTTTTGAGACTAGAAAACGCTAAAAATGAGATTTTTTGCTCAAAATTACAGATTTTCAGCTGAAAAATCGTCAACTTTTTGATTTTTAAGGCAATTTTTGGGGTAAAAATCGCATTTTTTAAGGAAAAACAAACCTGATGGACCAACCCCCACAGGAAATTCCGACAATAATCACAATAATGGGGAGCTTTGAAGGTGTACGAGGTGAAATTGTGAGCACGAGTCACCGGTCGACGAACGATGTCTGAGGTGGTGGCGGCGTTGGTGTAGCGGGAGTAGGGGCTGGAAAATAGCTTAAAACAAGCTGAAAACTCGAAAAATCGAGCTAAAATGAGCATTTTTAGCTTATTTCTAGCTTGAAATCGTCATTTTCGAATTTTCAGACAGTTTTGGGATCATTTTCCCTAGAATTTTGGTCCATTTTTAGCCATTTTAGACTAATTTCGGACAATTCCAAAAATTTTGAAATCTTTTTTCTAGTGTTTCGGTCTATTTCCCATCGTTTAGGTCCATTTTTCATGTATCCTGAGTATATTTTTAACGATTTTGAAGCTATTTTCAATGATTTCAAGCCAGTTTTCATGGATTTTGGCTGATTTGTGTCAAAAATAAGCTGGAAAATCGAGCTAATATGAGCATTTTTAGACCATTTCTAGCTCAAAATAGTCATTTTTGTAGAAAAAATTAGCTGAAAAAGCTCGAAATCAAGCTAAATTGAGCATTTTTTGACAATTTTCAGCTTTAAAAACCTACCTATCCTCATAAATCGCTTCATCGGCCATCCGCTTTATATAATCCGCTGCATGAAGGTCCACAAACATGGAAATCAAGCCATCGGCCACCAAAAGATCCATCGTATCGAAACGCTTCTCGCCAACATAGAATTGTCCATCGTAGTAGAGCTAGAAATCGAGATAGAGCTATTTTTAATTAATTAGTCGAAAAATGGTTATTATAGCAAAAATTTAGCATATGTTGATTCAAAAATGTCTTTTTATGGCAAGAAAATTGAATTTTCTCACATTTTACAGCTTTTTTATCGCTTTTTTCCCTCACTTTATAATTCATAACCTTTCCATCGAAGACCATACATAGCGTGCACGCATCTCTCGATCGAATCGACTCTCTAACCAAATACGACCCCTCGCCGACTTCTAGAAGCATCCTTTCTGCCTGAAAAATCCTCTTTTCAAAGAAAAATGCTGTTTTTTCCCTTTCAAAACCTCATTTCTATCAATTAGCCCATGAAATTCGGTGCCAAAATGGCGTGGCTTATTCGGCACCGGCCGCCGGCACTGAACGGCATTCGGCTTCGGCGCTTTCTCTTGTAAAAGGTACAAATTTTGCTTCCAATAGCCGCGGGAGGCGCCTGCAATTATTTTTTTTCTTTGGAGATTTTTTGAAATTTTTGAGCTTCTACCTGAGCTCCCGGGTGGCCCATCATCGTCCATAGCTGGAAAATTCAAAAATTTAGATTTCAAAAAAAGGAAAAACAAAAAAATCTAGCTCAAAACCTAAAAAATACATGCAGCTTTTCCATTAATAAATTAATTTTTTTCTTTGCACCAGAATTGCGCTAAGGAGTTGACAATTGCGCCAGTAGAGTTTGATGACGCAATTCTTAAACCTATAAATTATTATTTTTTAAACAATAAAAATCTCATAAAAACAGAATTTCCAGCCAATTTTCAACCCGAAAATCGAAATTTTCAGATCAAAAATTGTCAGAAAATGCGGATTCCTCAGCTACCTCTACGATATTCCAAGCGGTGGAGCTCGTAAGAAGTTTTCTTCTGAAATTTTTAATTTTTTTTAATTTCAGACGAGAATATCGGCTAGCTGGAAATGAAAGATCTGTGTCGGTAGATTTTAATGGGAAAAATTCGCTAGAATTAAAGACAGGTCATATGGCTAGATTCGCGTCAGCTGCAGTTGTAGCGTCTTCTGGAGACAATTCAGTGATGGCTACAGTAGTACAGAGGAAACAGAAGCAGGGAGATGGGAATGGTGTGCCTCTTCAGGTTGAATATAGGTCAGAAAACTATAAAAATTGAAAAAATTAATTTTTTTTCAAAATTTCAGACCATCTGCCTCAGCGGTCGGCCGAATTCCCACCAATTTCCTACGTCGAGAGTTGAGCCAATCGGATAACGAGATTTTAATTTCCAGAGCCATTGATAGGTCGATAAGGCCACTGATGCCAGCCAATTCCTATGAGACACAGGTAGATTTTTTTTTCAAAAAATCTTAAAAACAAAAACCGGAAAATAGAGAAATCCAAAAATTCGAAAAATTTGGACATTTTTAGGATTGTTAGGATTTTTAGATTCTTGGAATTTTTGGAATTTTTAGATTTTTAGATTTTCCGGATTTCTAGAGTTTTGAGAATTTTCGAAAATCCGAAATATCGAGATTTTCAAAATTCAAAATTTTAAAAAATTCCAAAAAATGATTTTTTCGAATTTTCCGATTTAAAAAAATTTTTAAAAATCCGAATCCAAAAAAGTCAACAATCCGATGAATCTAAAAACTCAAAATTCTCAAAAAATGCTGAATTTTCAAAAAAAAAAACGTCCAAAAAGTTGAAATTTTCAAATTGCTGAAATCCAAAAATCTCGGAAATTCGAAAAAAAGCAAAAATCCTAAAAATCTTCGAAAAATGCTAAATTTTCAAAATTTAAATGTTTCAAAAATTAGAGATTTTCAAAATTCTCAAAAAAATTTTTAAATCCATAAAGTTCGAAAAATACGAAAAATCCTAAAATAGCCTGAAAACCTAAAAATCCTGAATATTTAAAAAATTTCAAAAAAAAATCCAAAAATTTCGATTTCCAACTTTCTTAAAAGTCCAAAAAATCCAAAAAAAAACCCAAAATTCAAGATTTTCAAAATTCTAAACTTTAAAAAATTCTAAAATTCTAAAAATCTTGAAAATTCAAAACATCCAAATAACCAAAAATTCTCAGAAAATGCTATATTTATTTTCAATTTTCAAAAATCTCGGAAATTCGAAAAAAAGCAAAAATCCTAAAAATCTTCAAAAATGCTAAATTTTCAAAATTTAAATGTTTCAAAAACTAGAGATTTTCAAAATTCTCAAAATATTTTTTAAAATATATAAAGTTCGAAAAATCCGAAAATCCAAAATTTTAAATTTTTTGGATTTTATAGGTTTTTTGAATTTCCGGGAATTTTGGGATTTCGGGATTTCTTGTATTTTTGGATATTTGGATTCTTACTATTCGGATTTTTCAAATTTTTCGAATTTTAGGATTTTTTGAGTTTTGAGATTTTCGAATTTTTTAGATTTTGTGAAGCAATCCCAATTTCTCTTCCAGGTCATCTGCAAACCCTTGGCTCTCGATGAGAACGCTGATCAGATCATGCTAGGCATCAACGCAGCCTCCTCAGCTCTTCACATCTCCTCAGCCCCCTTCAACGGCCCCTTAGCGGCTATTCGAGTCTCCATGGATCCACGTGGCAAGATCTTCCACGTGAATCCAGGTCAAGAGGAGCTGAAGGCGTCGAGTATGAATATGATTGTGGCGATGAGAAGGAATCAGAAGACGGTGATGATTGAGTTGGATGGAGAGGAGACACGTGGCGAGCAGTTAGAAGAAGCCCTAGATGTCGCATTTCAGAATGTGGAGAGACTACACGTGGCGATGGATGAGCTTGGAGGAATCGAGAAGGACGAGTTGCCGGAGAAGACGACGACAATGGAGATTCTGGAGATTCTGGAGGCGTTGGCACGGGAGAGAATCTATTATGTGATGACTGATAGTACACATGATAAGATTTCGAGGGATGAGGAGATAAAAGCGATTATGGAAGATGTGATAGGGACGGAGGGTAAGGAGAAGGTCTCACAACGACAACTACCGTAACCTAGAAATATTTTTTGAATCCGGAAGCAAAATAGGTCATATAGAACGCCTCACCTTCCATCGCATTTTTATTGATTTTTGGGCGATTTTACAAAAAATGATCAGTTGGCGCAGTGAGATTTTACCACCAATTTCGCTGTCAATCTCAACACCCGGGTTCGATTCCACTCGGTGGCAGAACTTTTTGATTTCTGTGTAGACCATTTTCAGACAGTTTTAGAATGTTCTAGAGCTGGAGTTCTGGAATTTCGAGAAATTGAAATTTTCCAGAATTCAAGCTCTAAAGTGATTGAGAATCGTCTAAAAATGGTTCACACAGAAATCAAAAACGTTTGCCACCGAGTGGAATCGAACCCGGGTGTTGAGATTGGTAGCGAAAATGGTGGTAAAATCCACTGAGCCATTTGGTCATTTTTTGGAAAATCGCTAAAAAACGGGGGTTTTTTTTACAGAAAATTAAAATATTCTTAGGTTACTGTAGCTTCCTTTTGTTCTCAAAATGTTAAAAAATCGATATTCAGCCCTCCAACCGTTCCCACCCGCTGACATCTATCAATGCTGGTCCTTCCTAGTAAAGAAGGTGCTCCGAGAAACGACTCTTTCCACCGGAATCCGATGTGATGGACGTCGTCCAACTGACTTCCGACCCATCAGAATCCAAGTGGATATGTATAAAAAGCTCCATGGATGTTCGATGTTCCAACGGGGACAGACACAAGTCATGTCTACAGTAACCTTCGATTCTCCCACTGCCGCTTTTCATCCGGATTCGGTTGCTCAGTTGTTAGGATCACAGAGAAAGAAGTCGTTCATGTTGCATTATGAGTTTCCCAGTTTTGCCACTAACGATATTGGCGTAAGTGCGCTCTATTGAGGAAAATTGGTTTTGTAGGTCGAATTTTGAATTTTTCCTGAATTCTTAGAACTTTTTTTAAAAATTAAAATTCCAACATTCTAAAATTCCAAAACATCTGAAAATCCAAATATTCTTATATTCCAAAAAAACGGAAAATCCCAAAAAACCTATAATTTAGGATTTTCGAATTTTTTTGAATAAATGTTTTTTTTGGATTTTTGGGATTTTAAGATCTAGAATTCTCGAAAATTCTAAACATCCAAAAATTCCGAAAATCCAATAATTCGAAATTATGAAAAAAAAAGTTCAAAAATACCAAAAAATCAAAAACTTCGAAAAAATTTAAAATCTGAAATTCCAAAATTCCAAAAATTATTTTATTCCGAAAAATCCAAAAAGCCCTGTAATTTAGGATTTTTGGGATTTTAAAAGCTAGAATAAAAAACCAAAAATTCCAAAAATCCGAATAATCCTAAAAACATAAAAACCAAAAATTCCAGAAAATCTTAAAAATCTACAAATCTAAAAATCCTAGAAATTCAAAAAACCCTTAAACCCCAAAATTATAATAATTCGAAATATCCAAACATCCTAAGCTTCTCTAAAAATCCGAAAATTCAAAAAATAAGAAATTCTGAAGATCGGAAATTTTCACATTTTTAAATTTTTGAAAGTCTGAAAGTCGGAAATTTTGAAATTCCAAAGAATCCTAAGAATCCAAAGTTTCTAAAATTCCGAAATCTCAAAATCCGGAACATTCGAAAAAATTCTAGGATCCAAACTCTTTTAGAAATCCAAATAATTCTGAAAATCCAAAAAATCTGAAATTCCGAAAATTCAAAAAATCCTGAAAATTTGAAAATTCCGAAATCTCAAAATCCGGAACATTCGAAAAAATTCTAGGATCCAAACTTTTTTGGAAATCCAAATAATTCTGAAAATCCAAAAAATCTGAAATTCCGAAAATTCAAAAAATCCTGAAAATTTGAAAATTCCGAAATCTCAAAATCCGGAACATTCGAAAAAATTCTAGGATCCAAACTTTTTTGGAAATCCAAATAATTCTGAAAATCCAAAAAATCTGAAATTCCGAAAATTCAAAAAATCCTGAAAATTTGAAAATTCCGAAATCTCAAAATCCGGAACATTCGAAAAAATTCTAGGATCCAAACTTTTTTGGAAATCCAAAAAATCCAGAAACTCTATTTTTCCAGGCCTCCCGCTCGCTGAATCGCCGTGAAATTGGACATGGTGCATTGGCTGAAAAGGCTCTGAAACCCCTCTTCCCCACTGGATTCCCCTATGCTGTACGCCTTGCTTGCCAAGTCCTAGAATCAAATGGATCCTCTTCAATGGCCTCGGTTTGTGGAGGATCGTTGGCACTGTACGATGCTGGTGTCCCAATGAAAAATGCAGCTGCTGGTGTCGCTATCGGATTGATTTCAGATGAAAAGGAGCCTGAGACAAACTATAAAGTGCTTACCGATATTTTGGGAATCGAGGATTATGCAGGCGATATGGATTTCAAGGTAATAATAATATATTTATTTGCAATGCATGGGGAAATCAATAGAAATTTGGCAAGAAAAGGGGACATGAACAAATAAAAAAGTAAAATGACCAGACGGACCGACTAGAGTCCTGTAGGTCAAGTGGGAGGGATCAGAATATCATAGGGAATCGCCCCTACTCGCTTAGCAAACGCCACCGGACTGAGCTTAGAATTTATCACCTTACATACACGGTTCCACATAGACAAGTTTCTGTGAAGGAAGCAGTCAAAGTATTGACCGTTGATTTTGAACAAATAAAGGTATTTTTCGTTGCCCCACCTGTATTCTCCAGTCAATTTCCTACATTTTGATACCCATATTGCCTATTTTTTAAAAATTTTGAATTTTCAGAATACGTCAAAATTCTGAATTCTGAATTTCAAGTTTTTAAAGCAATACTGGTACCAAAATTTTGTAAATTCAATGTAACATTCAACTAGAACGGTAAGAATTCTAAAATTCTGATATTCTAATATTTCGAATTTCTGAAAATCCGAGTTTTCGAAACTCGGAAATTCGAATATTCTGAATTTCTGAAAATCTGCAATTTATAAAATTCCGAAATATCGAATATCTAGAATTCTAAGATTCTGAAAGTTGAAATTTTGGAAATTCTAAAATCCGTTTTTTCGAGATTAGGAAGTTCCGAGATTCCGGGATTCTCAGTTTCTGAAATCTAATTGTAAGATCCTGAAGTCCGGAGATTCCAAAATTCTGAAATTCTGGATCTCTGAGATTCGGCAAGTCGGAATTTCTGAAATTCTAAAATCTGAAATTCTGTAATTCTGATAAGATTCTGAGAAAAGTTGAAATTTCCGAGATTCTGAAAATTTGAAATTCTGAAATTGCGAAAGTCCGATTTTTCGAAGTTCCGAATTCGGTAGGTCTGTAATTCTGAGATTCTTAAAATTTGGAATTCTGGAATTCTGATGTTCCGAGATACTGAAAAAATGAAAATTTAAAAATCTGAAATTCCGAGAATCCGAGAATCCTAAATTTAGAAAATCCGAATTTTCGAAATTGTAGATTTTTGGGATCCTGAAACCCGGAGATTCTCAAATCTAAAATTCTGAAATTTCAAAAATCTGATATTCTGATATTCTGATGTCCTGAGATTCTGAAATTATATGCTACTGTGACTCGGAAAGTTTGAAATTCCAAAATTCTGAAACTATGACATTCTGAAATTTTTGAAATTTGGAATTTTCTAAAATCTGAAATTTCCAGATTATTCTTAAAATCGGAAAACCTGAGATCCTGAAAACTGGGGATTCTGAAATTCAGAATATCTCAAATTTCGAAAATCTCCAATTTTCGAATTTTCAAAAAATCCAAAACCCCCCCATTTTTTCCAGATAGCAGGAACTAAAAACGGCTTCACCGCTGCTCAGCTGGACGTTAAAAACGATGGTCTGACCCGTCAACAACTCCGAGAGAGTCTAGACGCAGCACGTGCTGGAATAGACCATGTTCTAGGCAAAATGGCCATAATTCGAGATCGACCAAGAGAGCAACCGAAATCTACAGTACCAATTATCGAATCGATGAGAATAGAACCACATAAACGTGTGACGCTATTCAGAAATAATGGATATAACTGTAAATTGATTGAGGCTGAAACTGGTGTTAAGGTGCGATGTTTGGTCTGAAAATCCAGAAATTTTTTTTCAAATTTTATTTTAAAAAATTCAAAACAAAAAATGAAAAATTTTTTTTTAATTTTCTAGAAAAATGTCAAAAAAAAGTGAAAAATTTCAGGGAAAATCTACTAAAAATGGCTTAAAATTTCCAGATTTCCGTTGAAGACGAGAGCAACATCTCCCTGCTCGCTCCAAGTCAGGAGAAACTTCAGAAGGCGTTGAGCATGATGAATGGCGTGTTGGAGAGTAATACGACGTTGGATTTCGCGTTTGGATCGATTATTCAGGCGGAAATTGTGGAGGTAGAGCCTTTTTTGTTGCTATTTTCATTGTTTTAGCTGAATACTACATGAAATTTCCGAAATTTTGATACCCATATTGCGCTAAAAAGTTGAAGTTTAGAATTCAGGATTTTGACGTCTTCTGACAGTTCAGATATTTTTAAAAATACGCAATATGGGTATCAAAATCTCGGAAATTATGTGGAGAACACAGCTAGAGTAACAAAAATGATGAATTTTCAGCGGTTTTCGAGATATACAGAATTTTCAGAGTTACAAAAAAATTTCAGAAAATTTTTTTTTTTTTGGATTTTCCGAAATCCTGAAATATTCATAAAACCACTTCATTCATAATTTTTTTTTCACTGTTTCAGCTGAATTCTACTGAAATTTCCGAACTTTTGATACCCATATTGCCCGAAAAACTTGGAGTTTGGAATTCAGAAGTTCCACGTCTTCTGAAAATTCAGATTTTTAGAAGATGGGCAATATGGGTATCAAAATGTTGGGAATCGTCTGGAGAACACAATCGGAAATACGAGAATAATGAATTTCCAGATAATGGACCGTGGTGTGTACGTCACACTACCAGGAAGCTCCCAACGAGTCCTTATCAACAACAACCATCTAAGTCTTCATCCATCCGACATCCAGATGTCCTTGGACTGAAAGTTGGTGATAAAATGGCTTGCACGTGGTTTGGACGCGATGAGCACACTGGAAATATCAGATTATCGAGGAAGACGTTGGCAGGAGCATCACATCCAGCCACTCAGCAGAAGAAATAATTTTTTTTTAATTTTTGAATAATTTTTTTTTACCTTAAAAGGCTTAGGAAAATATGTAGATTCTTATAAAAACTAAGAAAAATTTCAAAGAAATCGAAAATTTACGAAAAATCGGTTCTAGAAGGTTCTGGAAGTTTGAAAAATTAAAATTCCCGCCAAGAACCAAAGTTTCGATTTTTCGATATTTTTGAATTTTTTGGAACTTTCTTCTCGCATTTTTCTACATTTTTTGAATTTTTTTGTTATTTTTTGTTGCAGTTTGTAGTTTTTGTAGTGTCTAGATTGGTCCATTTTGCGGGTATACTGTTGATTTTTCTTAAATTTTGCTCAATTTTTTTTAATACATATATTTAGGCACCACAACAAAATTTTCAAAATAGATTTTTCCCAGTTTTTATTGTTGGATTGTCTTCTCCTACTTTACAGAAGTCTATTCCCAAAATTTCAGCGAAAAATCTTCATTCAATCCCGAGTTACACACCATTTTGTACCAGACCTCAATGTACTGACTTTCTCCTCATTTTTTTGCGGTGCGCAGAAAAGTGGGCGGGGTTTAGAAGCTTGCAATACTGCGGCGCGGAAAATTCGTGAAGGAAATTAAAGAAAAAGCTATTAGACGCGAGAGAGACCCGAACCTCCGCCTGCGTCAGATCGGCGCGCGCACCCACTATCCAGTCGGCCACGGCTGCACTCGCGGTGGTAGCTTTAGAGGGAAAATATGAATGTGCGACTCTTCGCTGCCTGCTGCCTTCTTCCGGTGTTGCTTTCTTCCTATGTTTTAAAGAAATTGATCTGTGAATGATAAGGAAACAGACGTATAACACATTAAGGGCGTCGATAGAATTTTTTAATTATAATTGCTCTTAGTGGCAAATTTTGCGTAGAATCTTATGGTGAAAAGAAAATCGGTGGCGCTCACCTGTGTCACCTTCAAAACTTCCAAAAACTGAAAATTTTGAAAGTTTGGAATTTTCGGATGAGTATCAAAACTACTTAGAGGTATCCAATCTTTCTGAAAATTGGCAGAAGTATACACAAGACTTAGTTTTACCATAATATGCAAAAAAAAATTGGGGTCATCGCTGAAATTTTTTATTTATTTTAGCTGGAACTTTGGCTGAAAATTGTGAAACAAGGGCGTCGTTAGAATTTTGATTTTATTTCAAAATCCAATCCCCCAGTTCATAAACTATCAGAATCCATTAAAAAATCTAATGGCGCGAACTTCCATCCAGCACTTTTAGTCCACTTTGTCAGTCCCACTTCTATTTTTCGAAGTTTTCGAATCAAAATAATAAAGTTATCGAAGAACTGATAATTTCATTGGATTCAGCGTAGTCGATTACATAGGGACAAGTTCTCACCAAAAAAATAATGGGTTTCTAACGCCCGGTACAAGCCTTCAAAGATGGATTTCTGAAAAGGGGAGAAAAATTTGGTCGCCCCGCCCCCTTTCATTGCGGTGCCTACATATATTGATTTTTCTATTTGTCATCCGATTAAAAATTTTTTAAAAATTAATAAGATTAAATTTGAAAATTTCAGAGAAATTTTGATAAGAAATTTAGTTTTTTTTTTCAATTTTTTGCCAAAAAAATTATGAAATTCAAGGTTTCTATTCTATTGATTTTTGGTTTCCTAATTGGTAAGAATCTCTATTTTTTCAATTTTCAAAGAATTTGAAAAATTAGGCTCCGCCTCCTCCTCGAACCTCTGCATTTCGAAGACGCTCTCGTTCTGTCAATACGGATTCAATCAGAATTTGAATGTGACAAGCACGACGGCTGATTGGACCAATCCTGGAACACTTAGCTTCATTATTAGAAGCTATTATTTACAGGTTCTGGAAGATTCTGGAATTTCGAAAAAAAAATTCTGAAATTTTTTTTTTGGCTGAAATTTCTAGTTAGATCTGAAAATAGAATATTCTTGTTATTCCAGCAGTGTTCTCCAGACAATTCCTAAAATTTTGATACCCATATTGCCTATTTTTTAAAAATCTGAATTTTCAGAAGACGTCAAAATCCTGAATTCTAAACTTCAACTTTTCAGGGCAATATGGGTATCAAAATTTTAGAAATTTCATGGAGAATTCAGCTAAAACAACGAAAATTGTATAACCGAAGTTGTTACAAAGATATTTCAGAATTTCGAAAATTCTCAGAAAAAAATTTATTTTTTGAAATTTTTAAATTTTTAAAACCGCTCAAAATACGACATTTTCGTTATTCCAGCTGTGATTTCCAGACATTTTCCAACGTTTTCATATCCATATTGCCCATTTTTAAAACATTTGAATTTTCAGAAGACGTCAAAATTCTGAATTCTGAAGTTTTTCGGCCAATATGGGTATCGAAACTTCGGAAATTTTATGTAGAATTGAGCTAGAACAGTGAAAACTATTTAAGTAAAGTGACTTTAAAAACATTCAAAATTTTCGAAAAAAATTCAGAATTTTTTTTGAAATTTTCAGAAAAATCTAAAAATTCCAGGGAATCGATGGTCTCCTGTCCGTATGTAACGCCCGTCAACAGTTCGCCCAATGCCTTGGCGATCAATACGATTCGTGTATGTCAAAATTGAATTTTATCGCTTCTGGCGAGTCTCCAGAAGACGCTCAGGCCTACGTTCAGCTCTTCAGAACCATGGAATTCGATTGTGATGGAGGATTTATTCGTGAGACTAAAATTTTACCATTTTTTTGGATTCTCAAAATTTTCGAAAATTCAAAAAAAACTTTTTGAAAATTTTGAATTTTTTTTCAAAATTTTTCGAAAACTATACAATATTTTGAAAGTTATCATATTGATACAATTTTCAGTGTTCTTGCTGAATTCTACTAAAAATTTCTGGAATTTTGATACCCATATTTGCCTAAAAACCTGGAATTCGATATTCAGAATTTTGACGTCTTCTGAACATTCACATTTTTTAAAAGTGGGCAATATGGGCATCAAAATGTTGGAAATCGTCTGGAGAGCATAGCTAGGACAACCAAAACATTGATTTTTCAGCGGTTTGCGAGAGATTCAGGATTTTCAAAATTCGGAAAAAAAATTTTAGAAAATTTTTTTAAAGAATTTTTCGAAATTTCTTGAATATCCTTAAAATCAATTCATTTAGACAATTTTCACTGTTCTAGCTGAATTCTACATAAAATTTCCGGAATTTCGATACCCATATTGCCCTGAAAACTTGGAATTTTCAGAATACTGACGTCTTCTGAAAATTCAGAATTTTTAAAAATAGGCAAAATGTTGGAAATTAAATGGAGAACACAGCTGGAATAAGTAAAAAGATAGATTTTCAATAGTTTGCGAGAGATTCAGAATTTTAAAAACTCGAAAAAAATTTTCTCAACATTTTTTTTGTTGGAATTTTTTGGAATTCTGATTTATCGTAAAAACGACTTTTTTAATAAAGTTTTTTTCTGTTCTAGCTGAAGTCTACATAAAATTTCCGAAATTTTGATACCCATATTGCCCTAAAAACTTGGAAATCGAAATTCAGAATTTTGACGTCTTCTGAAAATTCAAATTATCTAAACATGGGCAATATGGGTATCAAAATCTTGAGAATTGTCTGAAGAACACTGCTCAAAAAACGATAATAATGAATTTTCAGCGGTTTCAGAATTTTCAGAATATAGAAATAGAAAAAAAATCAGAATTCTGAGTTTTGACGTCTTCTGAAATTTGGGTTTTTCCAGAATCTTCTAGAAACTGGCCATGCATTGCTGCAGTTCTCCAAACCAAAGAGGACATGCTCAATCAGTGTCGTCAGACGTATAATGATGCCTTGAAGAAGGTAAAAATTCAAAAATTCGAAAAATGAAAAATTTTCAAATTGGTCCCATTTTGAGAAAAATTGATATCACGATCTAAAATTGCATGAAAACTACTATGCTGTGAATAAATTCCGAAAAATCGAAATTTTGAAAAAAAAAACATTTTTTTGTCGAAATTTGAAAAAAAAAAATTTTCAAAATTCCAAAATTGTGGAATTTTTTCACATCATATTGATTTTTATGCCATTTCAGATCGTGATATCAATTTTCATCAGTATTGGATCATTTTGAAATTTTCGAAAAAAACATCTTTCCAGGATCCCTCCTCTCTCTGCCAATCGTCCGCCGACTACGAGACTTGCTACCGTCACTTCTTCTTCACCACGTGTGGTCCAGAAGTCTCCTGGTGGGCTTGCGAACGCACCCGACGTGGCTTATCAATCGATACCGACTGCCCAATGGACACTTGTAGTCTGGTGGCTTCTGGAGTCTCTTCTGGAGACGCAACTTCTTCTGAAGGCGTTCAGAAGGTGTTCGAAATGAAAACAAATGCTGCTCTGGTGATGAGACAGCTTGCTGCTGGCAAACATTGATTTTTAAACTTTTTATTGAATAAATTTATAGCATCTACACAGTTTATAATTCCAAAAATAGCAAAAAAAAAAAACAACTACAAATTCTAAAAAAATTAGAATCCAGCGGTCCTCCTCTGTAGAATATTGTTCAATTCGTGATCTCCAACTTGTTGATATCCCCGGAACTGCACACTTATATCCCCGAATCCACTTGTCAACGTCCGCACCGTCTTCGATAGATTCTCAGTTTCCGAAAGTGGCAGAATCGCTGAGATCCGTCGATATTCTGAAGAAGATTGCGCCTCAAATTGGGCTCTTCGTCGGATGAGCTCGTTTAGAATCGGTTGGGTCGAATCGTCGCTTCTCACGTCGATTTGAACACTCATCACTGGTTCCGTCAGAAGCATTTCGCCACGTTGCAGAGATTCGGAGACGCACTTTTGAGCGCAGGCGGATACTGGAAAAATTCTAAAATTTTGTTTTTTCTGTTTTTTCGAAAATTTTCCAAACGGTCCAATTTTGATAAAAATTGATTTGACGATCTGAAATTGCATAAAAACTACTATGCTGTCAAAATTATCCAATAAATCGAACTTTAAAAAAAAAAATTTTTGAATTTTCGAATTTTTTCTAAAATTTTTAAAATGGTCCAATTTTGATAAAAATTGATTTGACGATCTGAAATGACATAAAATCTATCATGCATTTTCATGCCATTTCAGGTCGTGATATCAATTTTTATCAGAATTGGACCATTTTGAAAATTTTACAAAAAAATGGGAAATTTTGAAAAATCTTTTTTTTTTCGAAAAGTTTCTAGAAAATTCCAAATTTTTCTTTGAAAATTTCCAGGAGAAGTCTGGTCTTTTCAACGGATTTCGGTGTTTTTTTTTTCAATTTTTGAGCTATTTTTGATTAAAACGCTTACAAAGCGCTGGATTGATCTTGCCACCACTGACGATACACTCGGTTACCACCACTCGAACGGCCTGAAAATTGAAAAAAAATTTAAATTGATTCAAAAATTCAAATTGCCGCCTAATCTCTACGCACATGCACTGGGTACGATGCCAGCGGTCCATTCTGAAGTGCATTCGAGCATCCCTCGTTGATCGCCTTTTGCCAGTCCAGACGGATTGGTTTCGCTGATTGCGGAAGCTCCAAATCGATCTGGAATTTATTGATTTTTATAGGGAAATGGGAAAATAGCGAAAAAATTGCCAAAAAGTGAATTTTGAACTGAAAAATCCAATTTTTTGAAAATTTTTATAGAATTTTTTCTTTCAAAATCGGAAAAATCGAAAATTATGAAAATTGAAAAATCTGAAAATCCTAAAATCTTAAAATTTCAAAAATCTGTAAAAAATCAGAAAAATCCGAAAAACTCGGAAAATCTAAAATTGAATTTTTCAAATTTTTTAAGTTTCAAAAACTCCAAAAATTTCAAAAATTCGAAAAAATGTTAAAATGTCAGAAATTCCAAAAATCCAAAAATTAGAGATTTTTCAAAGTTCCAAAAATCTTAAAATTTCGAAAATTTCAAAATTTTAAAATTTTGAAAATTTCAAAGATTCTCTTTTTCAGGATTTAAGAGATGTCAGAAATGATTTTTTGGAAATTTTTGAATTTCAAAATATTTTTCTAAAAATTTCAGATTTTCCCAGACAAAATACCCTTAAAAATAGCGAAAAAAATAGTCAAAACTCTGAATTTCAAGCTAAAAAAATCCGATTTTTTGTTCTCATTCTAGAATTGAAGCTTAAAAATTTTTAAGGTTTTTTCGATTTTTAGGCAAATTTTGGTTGGATTTTCTTCCCGATTTTTCTAGAAAAAATAAAAAAAAATAGCAAAATAATGGTCAAAATTCTGAATTTCGAGCTCGAAAAATCCAATTTTCACGATTTTTCTAGAAGAAAAGAACCTTTTTAAAGGGTACATGCCCTTTTGTGGGTTCTATCCTCATGGTCAATTGTACAAACTCCGGCCTCTTCTTCTCACTCATCGCATCCTCAACCTTCGCCGTATGACTCAACTCTTCCGTGAGCATTTCTCTATAAGCCACTTGTAATTGTCCAATGAAAACGTCCAATTTATAATTTCTCTTCAATCGATCCTTAATTGCTTCTAGATGTAGCTCTCCCTGCGTCTCCACAATCGTCTGTCCCGTGTCTCGATCATAACGGATTTTCATTGATGGATCTTCCCGGGTGAGCTCTTCCAACGCTCGATTGAATTGCTGGAGCTGTCGATTCGATGGCGGTTCGATGCAACAGAAAAAGACGGCGTCGGGGGACTCGATTCCGGAGAAAACGACTGATCTACCATCATTGGATGTTTTGCACTGCAGAAGATCAATTGGATGGGACAGGGATTTGAGCGTCTGGAACAGAAAAATTTTTTAAAAAATTTAGAACAAAAAAATTGCAGAAAATCATGTAGAAAAAAACATTTTCTGCAAAAATTTCTTTTTTTCAAATTTTCTGAAAATCTTGAATCTCTCGAAAACCGCTGAGAATCCATTATTTTCATTTCTCCAGCTGTGTTCTCTAGACGATTTCCTACGTTTTGATACCCATATTGTCCACTTTTAAACAATTTGAATTTTCAGAAGACGTCAAAATTCTGAATCCTGAACTTCAAGTTTTTAGAGACAATATAGGTACCAAAATTTTGGAAATTTTATGGTAAATTTAGCTAGGACAGTAAAAATTGTATAAATATAGTGGTTTGGAGAATACTTCAGAATTTCGAAAAATTTCAAAAAAAATTTTTTTCTAAATTTCTGAAAATTCTGAATTTCTCGAAAACAGCTGAAAATTAATCATTCTCCTTATTCCAGTTGTGTTCTCCAGACAATTTCCAAAATTTTGATACCCATATTGCCCATTTTTCAAGAATATGAATTTTCAGAAGACGTCAGAACACTGAATTCAGAATCCCAAGTTTTCGGATTTTCGGATTTTTTCAAATGTTTTCTTTATTTTTATGTGAATTTTCATGATTTTCTGCTCAAAATAAAGCAATGTTCTCACCTCAAAAGCCTTATCTGCACTCGCTGCACTCTGTACTACCGTATCCCCGGTTACTGTATTCTCCAGACCGGCTACCACCGCAATATCCCCCTCTTCCACGTGGTCCACCGATTTAAGCTCATCTGCATAAGGAGTGAACACCTTCAACGGTCCCTCTGACGTCATTTGAGAGGCGTTGAAGATTGTGGAATTATTCTGAAGACGTCCAGTGTAGATTCTGATGTACGAGAGTTGGCCGCGACGTTTGTCATGGGTGATCTGGAAAATTCTGTTTAAAAATTGAAAAATCGATAAATAATGTCTAGAAAATATTCTTTTTTTTTCGAAAATCTAGAAAAATTCTGAAACTGAAAATCGATTTTTTTTCAGATAAAATCCATCTAAAATGACTGAAAGATCGGAAAATTACAGTTTTAAAAACCAAAATTCTCTCGAAGAAAATCGATTTTCTAGCCGCGGAAATCGGGATTTTCGGACGGAACGGACAGACGGAAAATTCTGAAGAAATGGCTGAAAATCTTCATTTTTTGGCCATTTTTTGTTGGTATTTTCAGAGTCGGGATTTCTGATTTTTAGGTGAAAAATTGGAATTTTCAGACTCAAAATTCATTCCTGATTTTTAGGCTTAAAATTGGCATTTTTAGAGTCAAATTTGTGATTTTTAGGTCCAAAATTGGTATTTTCAGAGTCAAAATTTATGATTTTTAAAACTCAAATGGGATATTTTAAGCAAAAAATTCCATTTTTAGGGTTTCAAATTAGTATTTTCAGAATCTGTACTAGTGATTTTTAGGTCCAAAAGTTGGTATTTTCTAGTCATAATCCCTGATTTTCACAATTAAAATTAGAATTTTCAGAATTAAAATTCCCGATTTTTAGGGTTCAAAGCTGATATATTCAGACCCCAAATTCCTGATTTTTAGGCTTAAAATTGGATTTTCCAGTCGAAATTTTCCATTTTTAAGATTTAGAATTGGCATTTTCAGAGTTAAAATTCCTGATTTTTTGGTTTAAAACTGATATTTTTGGAGTCGAAATTCCTGATTTTTAGGCTTAAAATTGGTATTTTCTAGTAGAAATTTGTCATTTTTAAGGCTCGAAAGTATTATTTTCTGGTCGAAATTTGTCATTTTTGGGTTCAAAATTGGTATTTTCGAGTCGAAATTTGTTATTTTTGAAGCTCAAAATGTTTAAAATTGTATTTTTCTCCATCGCTAACCTTGAAAACCAAACCAGCTAAATCTTTTTCAAAAATTCTCCTGAATTCCGTGTTTCGTTGGTCTGGAGATGGGAAAAAGTGCACTACAGAATCCAGAATCGGTTTTACACAATTCAAATTCCGAATCGCCGACCCACAGGATACTGTAGCGATTTTCGAGCCAATTGTGAGCTCTCGAAGGGTCCTCAAAATCAATTCTTGCTCAATTTTCTGCACATTTCCCTCGTTTTCGTCCAGAAAAATTTTCATAAATTCCGGCGAAAATTCTGCTAAATTATAGCATAAATCCGATCGAGCTTCTTGGAGAATTTCTTGAATTTTTTCATTTTCCTTCAAATTAGACCATTCTTTTTTATTAAAATCCAAAAACTGAGAGTTCAGGACGTCTAGAATTCCGATTTTATCAACTGGAATCACTAATTTCACTGCTTGGACCCCGAGTTTTTGTTGAATCGAATCCACGGATCGCTCGAAGTTCGCCTCCTTTTTATCCAGCTTGTTTATGAAGAAATGGGCGGGAAGTTTGAATTTTGAACTTTGATCCCATACGGTTAGCGTTTGGGGTTGAACACCAGCAGAACCATCGATTACCACCACGATTCCATCGAGAACGCGAACGCATCGCTCGACTTCGACTGGAAATTTGAATTTTTTGAATTTTGACGAAATTTTTCGATTCGCTAGGGCGCGTTTGCATTTTTTAAAACAATTTATCCTTGGATTCCTGATTTGAGTCTGAATTTCTGTATTAATTTCAATTACATTAGAAAATATAAAATTGTCGTCAAGTTCTGTGCAAAAAATGGAAGTACGCAAACACTGCGACCCGAAATTGCGGACTTTTAAATTTTCGCTAAAATTTTTCAGCATTTCCAGCTTCTTTTTGAGTCAGAATTTCAGTTTTATTGAAAAAATTGTGATTTCCAATGAAAAACTAAAAGTGTCGTCAAATTCTGCGCAAAAATGGGTGGTACGCAAACACACCAACGCAAAATTGCGGACTTTTCGTTAATTTGATATTTTCAGCTTATTTTCGTCTGTTTTTGATCGCATTTTTTTTCGGAAAATAGAGCACAAACTAACTAAAAGTTTAAACAAAATTTCAAAATTCTCAATAGAGCGCACATGCACACCTCGAAAATCCACGTGTCCTGGAGTATCAATCAAATTGATGTGATGCCCCGCCCAGTCGAAATTCACCGCCGCAGATTGTACAGTAATCCCTCGCTCTCTCTCGATATCCAAAAAATCGGTCACTGTATTCCCCTTATCCACAGATCCCGCGTTTTGAATGGCTCCCGCCAGGTACAGTAATCTCTCCGTTACTGTAGTCTTGCCAGCATCCACATGAGCAATGACTCCGATATTTCGAAGTTTTGAAGGGGGAGGAGGATTACTGTAGAAGCGGTGAGAAGGAGGTATTCGTCTAGAGATCAGCCGAAGAGTCATATCTAGAAAAGGGGCGGAGCTTAGGAAAAGGGGGCGGAGCATAGAGAGGCGAAACTTCAAACTGGAAATGAACCTAAAAAACAGATCAGAATTTGGGAGAATTTCCGCTTAAAATCAATTCATTTACAGAGAAAAAGATGAAAATAAAGAAAAATAGGTGAAAAGCGCAGAAAAAAAATCAATAATTTAGTTTATTGGCGGAGCTTAGGCGATTGGATGTCCTCCTTTGCGAAGTTCCTCCTTTAGCTGCTTCGAGAATTCGCTCTCGTGGGTCTCATCGTCCCAGTTGTCCTCCCAAACGTTGACCTCATCATCCTCGCCGTCGGCACGTTCTGGCCATTCCTGAGGGGAAAAATAGTTGAATTTTTTGGAAAAATTAATGAAAAATATAGTTTTTCGGCGATTTTCAGCCAGAAAAATGAACTTTTTTAGATTGAAAATGCTCTGAAATCCTTTAAAATTGGCTTGAAATTCACTGAAAATCGCTCAAAATTCATTTAAAATACTCCAGAATGGTCATTTTTGACTATTTTTATTGAATTTTCGACCATTTCTAGTGAATTACAAAATTCGAATTTTTTGAAAATAAAAAATATTCCCTACCTGAATTGGGAACTCCTCAAACTCCTCCTCCTCGGTCTCCTTCTTCTCAACGACGGTTTTTTGGTCCTTCTTGGTGACAGTGGTAGACGACATTATTTTTAAAAGCTGGAATTTCTGAATTTGGGTTGGGTAAACATCTTTGAAATTTAACAGAAAGAAAGGTATAAAAATGGCTGGGAAACCATTTAAAAGGATTAAAAAAAAATCGAAGAAAAATTATTTTTACAATTAGAAAAGAGAACAAGGCAAAAAACAAAAAAAAAAGAAAACAAGGAACCTAGAAAAACAAACTACAAACTACAAAAAATAGCTAATTTAGGAACTGTTTGCTGCCTCCTTCTCCTTCTTCGCCTCCTCCAACTTCTCCGTAGTTCTCAATGGCAGTGCATTCGCCTTTGCCACCTGTACCCCAGCTTCCTTCTGTGTCAATTGATGCGTAATATGTGTTCCTTGCTTCGGCTCAATCCATTTCGGGTAAATCTTTCCGTGCAATCTCCATTCTCCATCCACCACTGCGATATGATTCTCGAACACCACATACTCAACAACGTCCTTCTCCTCGTCCTCAGATCCTAGGATAAGACCTCCAAAGCGATCGTAAAGGGCGAGCTTTTGTCTTGTGTGCATTCTAACCGTGATTTGAGCAATGTCGTTTCCAGATTTTGGTGGATTGTCGAAACAGCGAACCGCCACGACACGAGATGGTTCTACAATGGAGACTAGCTCGAAACGAACCGATCCGTTTTCAACATCCGGCCACATTTTCTATAATAAAGCTTGTTTAAATACATTTATCGATTTTAAAACCCGGAAACTTACCGCGAACGCATACTCCGTAATACACCGATACATCTCCTTCTTATCCCTGGCCTCCATTGCCTTGTGAGCTCTCTCATAGATATCTTCTGCCTTCGCACAGAAGGTTTTGACATCGAACTTCTCGAATCCCTGCTTCTTGCGAATCCGATTCGTTCCCATGCGCCAGTTGTAGAATTTGTGCTGCAGTCGCTGCTTGACCTCGTCGAATTTGTTGTTCACATCGGTAAATGAAGCTGGAGTCTCTGGTGGCACATATGGGTCAGCGATACCGTCTGGAAAAGCATTCTTTGTCAGAAAACAAGAGGAAAATTCAATTGTTAAGCCTTCAAGACTCACAAATGGACTGAAAAGTGACCTGAGCCTCATTCCAGACTCTTGGCTGTGCTTCCTTGTATGGATTGAGGCCTCGCTTCAGAAGTTCTGTTCTCATCTCTCCTGGAGGCATTTCCGATTCTCGTTCTCGCGCAGAATCTTCGGGAAGCTCGACGAGAAGAGTTTTACGGCCACGCATCTGGAAAATGCCTTTTTCTATAGAATTCGATGGAAGTTTCAGGACAAAAACGCACCTTTCTGAACAGTTTCTCATTGACATGTGTATTTCTATTCGCTTTTGCCTTGTTTGAACGCGTAACGCCGGTAAATCTCTTCATATCGCCGGCCTCCTTGTGATGATGAACACCGGCGATTTGCGTGGTGCAAGCGGCCACAGGGACCGTCGGCGACAAAAATGTTCGTATTAGCGCTCGTCCGAGCATTTTTCTGAGCTGAAAAATGCCAAAAGTTTGTGAGAAAATCGGTTTTTTCGCTGGAAAAATAAGAAAATTCGCGGAGAAAAAATTTAATCATCCTGGTCCAGTGGAGCGCGCTTGCAACTTGCTCGTAGGATCTGGTGCATTTGCGGACTTGAGCATTTTTTCGATTTTTTTTTCATTTGAGATGTTTGAAATTTTAAAAAAATTTAAATTCAAATTTTGGCGACTTTTACAGAAAAATGACAGATTATATGGCGCAAATGCTCAATGAGCTCATGGGTTCGCAGAGAGACGCGATGCCCGGAGAGGTGAGTCTGAAAATTTGTTTTTTCTGAAAAAAAAAGTTTTTGCAGCGCCGCGAGCTTCGTTTCGACGATGTCAATGTTTGCACCGATTTTTTGGTCGGTTTTTGCACTCATGACATTTTTCGCAACACCAAAAACGACTTGGGATTTTGTAAATATGTAAGTTGTAAAAATTGATCAAAAACCTACTAAAAATGGCTTAAAATCACTGAAAATTGCTGGAAATTCATTGAAAAAGGCTAAAAATCCACGAAAAATGGGCTAAAATCGACTAAAAATGACTCGAAATTCATTAAGAATCGCTAAAATTTCCAAACAGTTCAGAATGGTAAAAAATGGTTTAGAATGGTCATTTTTGACAATTTTTAGTAGTTTTTGGACCATTTTAAACTTGTTTTCGACTTTTTGAAACCTATTTTGGATTATTCTAGACCTATTTCAGGCGATTTCGGGCCTATTCTACACCATTTTTGATAATTTTCTCGTTTCTCAGAGTATCCACGACGAGAATCTCAAAAAATCCTACCAGAGTAGCGATCGAAAAGGAAAAATGGGATTCGAGCAGCGATTCTTGGACAGAATCCGCAGAATTCATGAAGACGTGCACAGGAAGATTCAGAAGCACGAGGATAGGCTGTCAGTGACTCAAAGGGAGAGTAAGAGTGCCGAGGAGACGTTTGGAGAGAAGATTCAGGTGAAAAACCTAAAAATCCACTCAAAATTGTCAGAAAAACCTCTAGAAATGAACAGAAGTTCACTGAAAATCGCTCAAATTCTATTAAAAATGTTCCGAAATCCACTAAAAACGGTCTAAAATCTACTAGAAATCGTTCAAAATCCCTTTAAAATAATCCGAATTTCACTAAAATTTACCGAAATTTCCAAATTTTAGGAAAACGAGCAGCGCAGAGAGCAGCTAGCCAAGAAGGTGGAGGATCTGATGGATGAAGCAGCCGTGCAAGGAGCAAAAGGGAATGTAGAAGCCGCGCAATCAGCTGTTGAGAAGGCTGATAAGGCGAAATTCGAAATGGAGGAGTTGCTAACGGAGCTGACTAATTTGCGAACTGAAAAAGAACGAGCCATCAGCATGGAGGAGAATGTGACAGCTGGAAATCGGCAGATGCAAGTTTGCCAGATCTGCGGATGCTTCATGCTTCAGAACGACGCTCCACAGCGTGTCGATGATCATATGACTGGCAAATTGCACATTGCTTATCAGCAAATCGCGGATACGATTCAGGTGCTGGAGCAGACGATCGAGGAGCTGAAGCAGAAGAGAATGGAGGAGAGATTCTCGAGAAGACAGGAGAGATCTAGAAGTCGTTCGAATGAGAGGAAGAGATCCGAGAGATCCGAACATCGTAGAGATCATAAGGATCATAGGGATCGCGATAGGGACCACCACCATCGCCACAGGGATCACAAGGATCATAGAGAGCATAGAGAGCACAGAGAGCACAGAGATAGAGGAGACAGACACCGTTCGGATAGAGATCGCAGAGTGAGTATTTTGAATTTTGGACAATTTTTAGTGGATTTTAGACCATTTTTAGCGAATTTTAGTTCATTTTCACCAAAAAAAAAATTTCAGCGCCACTAGCTCCTACCTACTTCGCTCCGCCCATTAAAAAGTACGTTTCCTCCCAAGCTAGAATTCCAGGTGAGTGATTTTTCCCCTCCCCCCCAACGCCCCTTTGCAGATAGCTCTCCGGTGTTCAGCTGAAAATTGTGTGGTTTTTGTTCAGTTAGTTTGAAGAAAAATGCCTGATTTTCAGAATGTTTTGTGCGAAAAATTCATTTTTTCAGATATACACCACTTCTCGTCGCCGGCTACGACCACTTCTCTAGCTTTCTCTCTCAATTTTTTTTCGTTAATTTTTTTCTGTAATAAATAATTCTTGTTTGTAAATGCGAAAAATCGGTGCTTTTTCACTATTTCAGAGGCTTTTCAGATTCCAAAACCGGAAAAAAATTGAAAAAAGAGACCCCGCAAATTCCGGAGAAAAACTTTTCCGGGGAAAAAAAAACTCCG